TTGTACACAGATTAGTCAAAAGAAATACTCAATATATTCATGGACAAATCTTTATTTTAGTTTATTAAAAATACATCATTAAAAAATATGATTTTTTTGTATGTGAAAGACTTATAATGTTAACTGAAAGACTGCCAATTTTTGTGAAGATATACGCACTATATTGAGAGTTAAGTATTAAATCTATAAAGAGTAAACAAGTACAAAGAGGTCACATGGTCGGTCAGATTGACCAAGCCCATGAAGAGAGTTAAGATTAAGGAAAGTAATAGTGTTGATGCATCATCTTGTTTCATACTTAATGGCGAGCATGGTAGGACCTTATGTCTCTTCCCCTTCTCAACAGTTCAATAAAGTGTTATTTTAGAAGCTTGCTTATTTGCTTACAGTAAACCTCTCTGCTATTGCCATTCACCATGCTAACTCTGGTCCTTTCAAAAGGTTTAGTTTTTGATATTATACTGTCCTGGTAGGAGCTCAAGTTAATACTAACAAGGTATATAAGCTAACAAGTTGAGCCATTATGTATTAAGATCAGTAAAACTTGTTAAATAGTTTAAAAACAAAATTTGAGTATTCATCAATGTAATTACAATATCTTAAACAAGGTTTTCATGCTTTAAAAGATGGCAAAACAGCTGAAAATACATCATTATTCAGGCATTTCATTACTAAAACAATAAAATTTTGTAATGATTAATGGAAGTTCAGTTTCTGGAAATACACAGCACTAAGAAATTGACTTTCATTGAATTAAGAAGGACCTTGAAACAAAGGCAATTTCAAAATATAGTAATGTTTAAACATAATAACTTGAACTGCATATTTCTATAGAAGGTGCACAATTGCTTTCCTTGCATTACACTGTTAACTAAAGTTGTAGAGAAGTAACTCCTATAAACAATCTCAACATAACAGTTACTAATACACTGTTCGTTGTAGATCTACTGAAGTTCCTTCTAAAACAATCTAAACCTAACATAACAGTTACTAATACACTGTTCGTTGTAGATCTACTGAAGTTCCTTCTAAAACAATCTAAACCTAACATAACAGTTACTAATACACTGTTCGTTGTAGATCTATTGAAGTTCCTTCTAAAACAATCTAAACCTAACATAACAGTTACTAATACACTGTTGGCTTTAGGTCTACTGAAGTTCCTTTTAAAGTAATCTCAACCTAACATAACAGTTATTAATACACTGTAAGCTGTAGATCTACTGAAGTTCTTTCTAAAACAATCTCAACCTAACTTAACAGTTACTAATGCACTGTTAATTATAAATCTAATGAAGTAAATAAATAAATAGCATTCCAAATAAATATTTTTCTCTATCATCAAGTTTTGATAATGAGTTGTGTTACCAAATAAAAGACCTCCTTGACAGTGACTTATATGAGACAAAATAGATTGTGAAATGCTAATTTTACAAACCTTTAGTTTGAAATTCAAAATAGACAAATTAAAATGTTAAATAAAAAAAATAACATCTGCAGTCTAAATTATTTTTTTATCTTAAATATTACGTATTATTTGTAATAATTACATGAAGCATAATTACATAATTACTTTTTCATGACAAGGAGATATTCAAGACTAGCCTGAAGTTTCTTGTGTGAGTGAAAGTGGTTTAAGAACATAAAATGAGTAAATGTTTGATAAGTATCCAGCAACAGTTCTTAAAGAAAGAGAATTATCTTTAAAATTTTTCCATTTTATGTAACTTTGAGGTGTTAAAAGTTTGATAATAAGAAAATACAAGATTTCAAAACTATTTTAAAAGTTGTCTATATCTTTTTTTTTAACATTTTATACTTCATTATTACTGTGGTAGTTAATTGTTACAGTGAATTTAGTTGTATTTTTATAGTTTTGTAGATAATTCAATAATCTTAAAGTATTTCTTTTTCACTCAACTCTGGTAATTTTCATTGGTCCTCTGACATTTTCCAAAATTGAAAATCAGCATATATAATTAAGAGAAAAAGTTTCTAAATATATTTAAATTTCCATCACTATAAAGATTTGCACAAATTAAATATATAGTAAAAGCTTTGTTATCTAGCATCTTCACACCCTGAAAGTTCAATATCTCCAAATACAAATGCTCATTGTAGGAACCAGCATTCATTACAATTCCATCCAGAATGTTTCAGAATGCTCTCATAGGTTCTTGAGAGTTTGAGACTAGTTAAATGACACTGATACTTAGTGGCAGTGATGTAGCTTTATTTATGTTCTTTTTCACCACCAAGCTTCAGCTGTTACCTGCATGTACTGCTGTGATTCAAATAGTAAATATTTTCTTCATCCTGAAGTTATAGCTTCTAATTCTAGCTAGAAAACAATGACTTTACATAAAGCAAGGTTTCTAACAAAATTTATTATTGTTTAAAACTGTTATTGTTATAGATGATATAGAAATACTGTACATTAGAACATCACCAAGGTGTCAAAAGTTTCCTGTAAAATATTGGATATGCTCTCATAACCAGAAAAAAACTATCCAGCACTTCCCAGGTCCAGCAAATGCTGGATAATATAGCTTTTACTGTACTTTGCAAACCCTACATATTTAAAAGAGCTCATAATATAAAACTTCCTATATATAATACATTGTACTGTAAACAACACAAATGATTTAAAGGTTAGCTACATTACTAACATAGCTTGTACTTGTACAGCGGAAGGTGACAGTAGAGTCTACAGGAACACTTTGAGATCGTGGACTTTCCACTTGAACCTGAATACCTGGTTGGGGTTCTGAAATTATATATTATTATATAACTCATCTAAAAAAGTAGTACATCAACAAAATATTGTAAGATTACCCACAATGTTAAAATTACCCTTGAAAATTCATGGAAAAAACTACTACCTACAATATTAAAATTACCCTTGAAAATTCGTGGAAAAAAACTACTACCCACAATGTTAAAATTGCTCATGAAAATTCATGGAAAAAACTACTACCTACAATATTAAAATTACCCTTGAAAATTCATGGAAAAAACTACTACCTACAATATTAAAATTACCCTTGAAAATTCATGGAAAAACTACTACCCACAATGTTAAAATTGCTCATGAAAATTCACAGGAAACAACTACTTCACACAATATTGTATGATTTACCTTTTACATGTTTTTGTCAATTCTAATGTAAAGCAGAGTAGTCAGTCTTGAAAACTCTACAGATCCTCTTGGTCTTCCCTATTTGAAATCCCCAGTATGAAAATCTTGAAAGTTAAAATGGTGGTACTAATTCAGATAATCTATTACATGACTATGCCACTTGTTATGTAAATAAGTGAATCCAGTCTAGAGAGCTTCCAAACCTCCTTGACAACCAGAAGGAGGATAACATTTTTAAATTTCTGAAAGGGGAATTTTGGTTGTTTTAAATGGCCATTTACATGTTAAATACCAATTTTCTAGTGAATTGGTTCAGTCAATACTAAGTGTCCCCCAAACTATTTATTTATATTCTGTGAGGGTTACGTTCCATCAGAAGACAACTACCTCAACACACGTGTTACATATATTTCTTACTTGATATAACTCACACCTTAAAGTGATAAAAATTTTATAATACTGCTTTATACATATTTCCAAATATTCTTGACAAATTGATGAAACCGTAAACACAAATAGTTAATGACAAAAGAACATATGGAATAAAAGTAAACTTTTGGCATAAAACAGTTAACAACAAAATAAAACCACAAACATTTATTACAAAGAACATAGAGAATAAAAACAAGTTTTCATAATAACATAGAGTAAAAGACTTCATTTATGGCACTAACCTAATGGTTGACAACTACCACCAGGCTGCTGGGGGTCACCTTTAAATCCACGAGCACAACTAAAATGATATAAAATATAACATTCATAAATGTTTTGCCATTTCAAGTATGAACTATTTGAATTTCTGAATTTTAACATGCTGTTATAATGAACAAACATGTAAATAGTAAGAATATAGTCTTAATTTAACATAACAGATTACTTGAGAGATTTGGTAAATCAATACTTTAAATCAAGTAAAAACTAAAGGCAATGCACCAGCATCACTGATGTTTGTAAGATAAACGAAAATGCGAATAGACTGTCTGAGCTCATACCCACCCTTAGGACCATCACTCAGTAGTCTTACATAAAGCATGAAGTGAGATTAAGAAACACTATTAATTGCCCTGCATTACTTTATCCAAACTAAACTTAAATCAACCAGTGCTAAGATGAAAAGTTGCTAAAATGTAAATGCTGATAGGACTGAATTTCACTGTGATGACACAGTATGGCTGTACAATCCATGTTGTAAGACAGGACTATTTCCAAAGTTAAGGATTTTGTTGTAAGATAGGACTATTTCCAGAGTTAAGGACTATGTTGTAAGATAGGACTATTTCCAAAGTTAAGGACTATGTTGTAAGATAGGACTATTTCCAAAGTTAAGGACTATGTTGTAAGATAGGACTATTTCCAGAGTTAAGGACTATGTTGTAAGACAGGACTATTTCCAAAGTTAAGGACTATGTTGTAAGACAGGACTATTTCCAGAGTTAAGGACTATGTTGTAAGACAGGACTATTTCCAGAGTTAAGGACTATGTTGTAAGATAGGACTATTTCCAGAGTTAAGGACTATGTTGTAAGATAGGACTATTTCCAGAGTTAAGGACTATGTTGTAAGATAGGACTATTTCCAGAGTTAAGGACTATGTTGTAAGATAGGACTATTTCCAGAGTTAAGGACTATGTTGTAAGATAGGACTATTTCCAGAGTTAAGGACTATATTGTAAGATAGGACTATTTCCAGAGTTAAGGACTATGTTGTAAGACAGGACTATTTCCAGAGTTAAGGACTATGTTGTAAGACAGGACTATTTCCAGAGTTAAGGACTATGTTATAAGATAGGACTATGATGTAAGATAGGACTATTTCCAGAGTTAAGGACTATGTTGTAAGATAGGACTATTTCCAAAGTTAAGGACTATGTTGTAGTCAAAAGAATCAATGATATGGTTTATAGAATCTAGAAAGACAGGCAGTAAAAGCCAAAGGTACATCCACCATGACTGTCTTTGAAAGTACGTTATGAGAGAACAGCCAACTAGTTTAGTTCAAAGAGAGCACTTTCATAGTATCAGCATAGATGGAGCTACAAATGGATTCCCAAGCCAGAGGCCATCCACCATGACTGCCGTTCCTACCAAGACCACTTACAAAGGCTCACTAGGGATGGAACCACCAATGAAATTACTTAACCATTTACCTAAAGAGAACTCCCTGTAGTGACAAGACAGCATCTCATCTGTGCACAATAAAACATAGAAAAAAATCATCAAAAAGATCTGATGTCTGGATAGTTTAAGTACATTAAGTGAATAAAGAAATATTTAAATTTTTTAAAATCAAAATTATGAATGCACTTCGTTTCTCCCATTTAATGATTGCATTATATCTATAAACTAATGTTCTTATATGACAAAGAAAAGGCAAAACAGTTGTTCATGTCAGCTTTATATAATAAGATTACCATTATTTGTTTTTAGAATTGTTGAGTTGAACTTATAAACATGATGCATGAAAGAAATGCATTAGGTGGTGCTATTTGGTCTGACATACCACCTCATCATTAGTTCAAAAAGTTACAGAAGTATTAAAGATGATTCTGGTAGAAATCTTCATGTAGGATTATTTCAGATGTTAAGATTTTATGATGGTGCACTAAAGAACAAAACAAGAGCACCAGGGTTTTGAAGACAAAACTCAGCCAAACTACTTGAAACTGTGACAACTAATAATGATAAAATATGGGAATTCACATTCAGCATACAATATTAAAACAAAGTTTCATAGTTATAAATTTCATAGAAATGCAACAATGTTTGCAGAAAAGAAGGGTTTTGCTCTTCTTCATATTAGATGCAAATTTGCACTTAAAGTAATCTTTACATAAATCACACAAGAATGAACAACCATATTTGAAGGAAAATCCTACATTTTGTTTAAAAATGTAAAATAAAACTATCAATTTACTCATGACAGGTGCTAAAGCAGTCATTTTATCTACTTACAAGCAAAAAAAAAAAATTGTTAGTTTTAGATTGAAGTTGAAATTTATTACATTTGACAGTTTCTTCCTAAGTAGCCAGTAGGGCAATTGTCACAAGTTGGCTGTCCATCATTATCTTGAAAACAGGTTCTAGAAAACCTGAAACAGAAAATGCAGTGACATAAGTTAATATTCATTCACAAATTATGTCTGTTGTACCATTTGTTTTTACAAATAACAACCATACATCAGACACCCAAATACTGATGTACAATATACAAACCTCAAAACTGCATTCAACATGAAAATGTACATTTTAACTTTACTTTCTTTTTCATTAATTAATTAGATATCATCTTATTATGTCATCACATTAAAGATGGCAGTCTGAAATTGGTTTCCCACCTGGTGAACACTAACCTAAATTTCCACTTTGTTATCCAACTGTTAATCAATGTGTTGTGCTGCCCTCTTTACAATAATACATAAATGTTGCAAAAGATTATTTCTGTACTTATTTTTAATATTTCTGCTGCTTGCATTTAGTCTTGCCTGTCAATAATTACCGTAATGAAAACTTTTGTCTTGCTGGTGGATGCAATCACACATATAATAATTTTACATAATTGTATTGATTGTTAAGTTTTATTGTTGATTTAACTTGAAGATAGGTATATATCAAATAGCTACAGAAAATCAAGTAAACAGAATAATCCAGTGCTATACATATATTTACAAGTTTGATTATGACATTAATATTTTAGATTTTTACAATTTTTTAACATACAAAACACCACTGCAAATGTTACTAATGTTTTTCGACCTGCGCAAAGTAGTGGTGTTGCATGATACAAAATAGGTAAGTTTCAAAATCTGTGAGAAGAGTAGTCTGACATCAAAAGAATATTTAAACCTTATTAAATTTTATTTATTTACAAACTGAAAATTTGAAACACTGTTTAGGAAAATATACAAAAATTTCATATTTTTAGATATGCTTAATGAATTTCATTTGAAATAGAAAATAGAGGGGAATAAGAAATAAGAGAAAACATGATCCGTAGAACAGGTCAAGACAAAAATGAAACTTTTTCAGAGAGAACAACAGATTTGTGACATCCTGAACTCAGCTCCAATAATCACTCCACCTATAAATTTGACATTAAACATAAAATTAAACTGTTTGAGCATAATTAAATCTGAAACACTATGAGAATTATTTCTTTTTTCATATGTGATCTTTACATTGTTTAACTGTCGATTAATTTGTTATATATCTTGATAAATAAAAACTATTATTAGATTGGTACACTACTTTAAAATATTTACTATATATATACATATATCCCACTTGGACTGAAAGATTCTTGGATTAAGTGAATGTCTTAAAATAACCAAAGTATAGTTGAAGTGTTTTTTTTTCTACATCTGAAAACCATTTTCAAACAGTGATGAATGAAGTGTTACAATCTTACTTTATTTCATCTCAATTTCCACTACAAGACTTGCATTTCATTAGCTTTGGATGAACTGATTTTATTACTTTTTTTTTTTTACTTTGTACTTTTGTTGCTGTTTAAAAATACTGAAGCAGCTCCAAGCTACTGATATATTCACTAATATACTTGTCAACTCATTTTGGTGTTTACCTGTAATTATTACCATGAAAACCCATAATTTTTTTAAATTACCCACAGCATTATGTGACAACTCATTCTCTGGTGCTCACAAAAAGAAAACACAACATTGGATCTGTAGTAAATAGTAATATAGCCATAGGCTTTATAAACTAAAAAAATGATCATTATGGTCAGCCTTAAGTGTGTGTCATGTATGCACTAGCCAAATGTTTGAAGGGTATGGCTTGTCTATAAAAATAATCAGGACACTCACTGATTTGAGGATATAGTAAGAGGACATGGACAAGGCTTGCAATCTTCAGGTGTTCCTCGGGTAGCATCTCCATAATAACCACTAGAACACTGTTCACAGCTGTTTCCAACAGTGTTATGTCGACATCGCTTAACATGAAAAAACAAAAAAAGAAATGAAAAAATCTGAACAAAATTAAACTTGATTAATAAAAAGAAACAAATGATACATCTATTAGTTATAATATAGTTAATATATTGTTTGAGAGCATATTATAAAACACTTTTTCTATTTTATGTTTAATGCATGGTATATTCAATAGAATTTAAAACATACAATACAATAAACAAATTTATGATTGAGATATTATAAAGTCTATGCCATAACTATGACCAAAAATATAACTATTTAATAGTTATCAAAATACCAATAAAATATACATTTTTATTAGATGTAAATAGGTATGGAAGTATATTTCTTAGTTTTACTTTAAAATATTTGTTATTTATGAGATAGGCCTACAGAGGATTGAACTTGTCTCCCTGTAACAACAGACCAGTTATAAACTGATTATGAAATAGCCTAGTCAGGTTAATACAGGCCAACTGTTGCTGTGAGGCAAGTTTGATCCTAAATTAGCCTATTTTATAAAATCAAATTTTTGAAGTAAAATATATATATATATATATATATATGTATATATATATTGTATTTATAACCTTACAAATTAATTCTGCAAACTATGACTATCTTTATAATGATTTAGTAAAATTCAAATATCTAGTTAGCATAATCCTAATTTATATTAATTTAACCTTACCAAGCATACACCTGTAGTTGGGTCACATGATTCTGAGTGTCCATTACAATTGCAACGAGTGCATCTTCCTAATCCAGGACCACTGTTGTCTCTAATATAGCCAGGTGCACATTCCTGAAAACATTCAACCCTATAGATAGCTACTAATTCATGTATGTAAAACAGCATTGCTATTTCCATATATTCAAGTTTAATATTTACTATTGTTTTCTAATTCTATTGCCTCAATCATTACCACTTAATCTGTTGTGATAAAGATGTTATGCTTGGAAGAATTTACCATAAAAAGTACCAAATTACTACATGTGCACCTATAAACGTATGTTTATTTTTACTCTGAAAAATCTCATTTAAGACATATTTTCTTTGAAAAATGTTTTGTAGGCCTCACTGTTGGCAGACTTATTATTTATACCCACAATCTACTGGAATCTCAAGAATGTTAGTAATATTTCTCTTCTTCAATACTACTTTTATTTTTCCATTGCATCTAGCTTTGTAGCAAAATTATTATAATTATAACTTGAACACAGTGAAATTACCTTTTTCTAAATTTAAACACAAATATTTGATAAATATTAACTAAGAACTGTACACAGAATAATAGATGTAATGTTCTGGTTTAGTTCTTTTACCATGCTGATAAATATACAGAATGCTTGGATTGCCATCAGCAACAACTTTAAGCCTATAGGTTGGCAGTATTAAATATTGTTGATATATGTCTTTCTCCAATACTTGGCATAGAATAATTTTTCAACAAGCATCCGTAGGCACAGCCATACAGTGCCCTGAATATCCAGCTGGTATTATACTCAGACACTGAAAATTTCCCAAAGTTCTGAAATTTAGCCAAAAAATTGCTAAACTTCAGTCTACAGTGCAAGTCATGGTAAAGAAGAAGCCTTACTCTTCTCCTGCAAAAAGAAAGAGAACCGTCATTGGTCAAGCCACATTTTTATGTTATCAAGTTGCATTTTCATGACGTACAGTAAAAACTAATTTAGTAGAACAACCTGGAAACACGATGAAAGTTCTTTGATCTTATATAAAGAAGAATTTCAGCTGTCCGAGAAGTCTTATTGTCAAGCAAAAAGTTTGGCAATTAACTGAATATATCTGTACTTTATTTTGTGATCTCACTAGTACGAATGATTGTAAACTGGTGTTCTATTGTCAATGTCAACCTGGATCGTAGTGATGAATTTTTGTCTGTGCGAAGGTTGTTTCTTCATTGTAGTTTTGACATGAAAGGTACTGTTTAATTGTGTATTTTATGAACAATTGATGTGTCATTTCTTGCGATTTGTTTCAAGCTATAGCTTTTTTTGTATAATTGCATTATCTGATACAAATGAGTAAAAGCTCATTTTAAGTGTGAAATAAGGAATAGCATATTAGTGTTTTGAAGGTATTGTAGGACAGGTCATAAGGATACTGTGCTAACCTCAGCTGCACTAATCCTGTTATTAACCATCCAGCCAACAATTATTGACAAATAAGGAATTCAGGTATTAAGAATAAATATATTGCTCCTACCAATACCACTGGATTGAGACAGGTGGTTGGAATACTCTGTTCAACCTGTATGTTGCATTTTGTTTTGCATGCAAGGACTTTAGGCCAAGACACACATGGATGTATTGAATAATAATAGCTTCAAACACTGGAAGAGGGCATTATATTCCTTTAGAGAGCATGAAAAGGAAGTGGTTCATAAGGCAAACATGCTGACTTGGGCAGCCTTCAGAGATGGGAAGGTGCACAGCAATATAAACGAGATCAGAGAAAGAAAAGTATTTATGGCACAACACTGGCGTCACAAAAATTCTTTGGAAACAAGTAATATACGTAGAGGCCTCAATGAAACTGAAGAAGCCAACACAGAGGAAATTTTATCAAGTGCTTGAATTTACTGACAAAATTTCACCCATTTCTTCAAACTTACAAAGCACCAGCAAATGCTAGCTATACTTCCCCTTCATCTTAGAATGAAGTTATTCAGTGTTGTTCAAAACAAATGAAATGCAGCATAGTCAGTGAAATAAAGAAATCAGGAATGTATACAATCATGGCAGATGAAGTAAGGGACAAAAATAAGGACCAATTAGCCCTCTGTGTACAGTATGTTGTTCCAGAAACTAGTTCAGTGAAAGAGGATTTTATGGGATTCAGCAAATTAAAAGGTTTTAATGCAGGTTTAATCATCAAATCAATACAACAATGCCTAAGAGCCAATGAGTCAGATAGTCTTCAATGCATAGCACAAACATATGGGTTTCTGAAATATTACCCAGGAGCTATTTATGTCCATCGTTATGCCAACCAACTCAAAGAAGTTACAAATTTTTTTAATCTTCTGGAAAGTGTATACACCTTCTGTACTACATCTCTGATACATCAAAGATTCAAAAATGTCCAAGCTCAACTTGGATTAAAACAAAGTGAACTGGTATAGCTTTCAATTACATACTAGTCTTGTCAGGTAAGTTCTGTGAATGTGCTGACAACAAACTTCTCAACTGTTTAGCAATGCCTTTTCGGAAATGAAGTCTTTAATAGCCATTGGTCTGTTAGCAAAGTTGTGAAATTTGCCTACAGTGTACAGTCTGTTTATGTTTCATTCTCTCCTCAGCACAACAGTAGGCTTCCATTAGCTGTTCCAAAAAGAAATACTTGATTTATCAAAAGCAGTCAATTTTAAAGAAGCAGTATGTAGCATTTTAAAGAATACGAGAACAAAAGAAATACATGAAAAATCAATGATCTTGTGCACCAACAACAGCAATGACATCAAGAAAACATCAGTGCAAAGGAGAAAACAAAAATGCATGGATGATTTCATGGTTGGAACTGCAAATGGTGTATGTGAGGATGTCAGCACAAAAGATATCACAAGGACAAAATTATTCCATTCTTGTCTAGATTGGATACTTTCTGAACTTCACCAGCAGTTCACTAGCTTTAAAGCAAAGCTAACAATGGGAATTCAGGGATGCAGTCTTCTCTCTACAGAGAACTTAACCACACTTTCTAAACACTATAAAACAGAACTAAACCTGGCTGAGAAGCATAATGGGACAAACTAGACTAGAGCACCTTGCAGTGCTTTGAATTGAAACAAGTGTGCTGGAATTTATATGTGAGGATGCCATCACTGACCACTATATCAAAGATGGGCTCCCCAGACACAGATTCCAGCACTATAGCTTTCCAAATAATTTCTAAGTAAATATTATCTATTAAGTTATATATATATGAAAATAGAGTTTAATATTTAAAAGTATGATGTCCAATTATGTGTTTGTTTAAGATCATTTTGGATTTGTAAATTTACAGTTACTATGATACTTCATATACTATTTAGCTTGTTTCTTCTTACTACTGTAGTGAAATACTTCATTTGTATGTCATTGTACTTTGTGTTTTGCAAAATGTTGAAATACCCAATTATTCTCAGGAGTTTTGGGGGTACGAGCCTGAGCCAAGTATCTTTTAAGCACCTAGCCACTTCTCTGATTCTTTCAAAGCTTTTGGATTATATTTTGGAAATAGCAAAGGTAGAGAAATTGTTACTTTATAGCATGCTTTTCAAATACTGGCAATGTTATTTAAATTAGTTATTATGTATGGTAGTGACATTGTAATTACTTGTTGTCAACATCTGTTGCTAGAATGTCCTGTAACAAACAAAATATATGTTTATCTAAAGATTGTCAACAGCCATTATTTCATACCTCACAAGAAAGACCAATGTAGCCAGGAGGGCAGACACATTGCTCAACTTCCACAGCCAACTGTTGCCCTGTACTCTCAGGTACTGCTGTATCCATCTCTACATCTTTAATAGAGCTTCCCTGCATATTGGAGTGGAATGAAGCTCGAATCAGAAGTGCTTCTACATTTGCTAAAGCTGTCATGAATTCTTCTCGTGTTGCTTCCATGGGTCCCCTGACATCAACAAGTTGCCAATTTTTCTAAGTAACACAAAACACATATAAAACATCAATACTAAAGATATAATGTGGTTTTCAGAATACCTGATATAGCCAACCTGTTTTTCATTTAAGATTACCAGAACAAGACAAACCTTATTTTATTTGTGAAAGGTCAACATATCAAAAGCTAAGTTTTATATTTCTTTCATTTAGTTTAGTGTGTTAACTTCCAACTTTTTTCAATAATATTATATCTTATTTTTGAATTTTAGGTTTTTACTGCTACATCTTTTACATAATATTTACTGAATGCTATAGATTAAGACAGTCTCGTTAGTTAAAAGAAATACATTTGCTAATAGTATGAACAGGCTTGTTAAGCACCACAAACACTAATCTGTTTTCCAGTTGACTAATTTCTTCAGACATACTCGGATCTGAACTAGTACTTTTGAAAAGCGACTAATGCTATCTTATTTAAGGAACCCAGAATTTAGAAAGAGTGGGTGTTTAGATAAGTTATGAATCAAGGTTTAAAGGACCAATTTTATCACTGAATTAACTTTCCTTCTGGGGTTGAAAATGGCTTAATTCACTAACTTTGCAAAACACTTTGTGTTTTATTGTAAACAGATCCTGTTACAATCAATGCATTGATTTTTAGGTACAATATACGCTATGTTACAGTGACCTATGACAACCTTCACACCATAATCTACCTCAAGAGTAACAGATTTCACCCCAGTAGGTCATGATTAGTAACGGAATGTCTTTGAAAAGCTGCTCAAAGAAATGGTCTTTAATAATGATGATTCTGCTAAATAAATACTCATTATCAGGAATTTCAGCTTGTTCTAACATACTTTTTTGCAGATTAACCATGATATAACTCCATCTCTGAAAATGTAAATATGTTTGTATGATTATTTGATGATGTGACCAGAGAATATGTGAGTGATATATGAACATTTTTGTTTAACAACTTAGCACCCTATGGAATGAAATAAGGAATGTGTAAGAAATTAAAAATCTAATCTTTGCCAATTATCAAAATAAAAAGGCTTTTACATATATACTATGTTGTTGTTGGGCTCAGGATTCTTCTATAGTAGGTGTCTGACTTAGTAGCAATAAGACAGCACGCACTTCAGGCATATCATAATCACTATATTTATACTTTTCTCCTTGTCAAAAGTCCACTTAGGCCTATTGAATTACTTTAGAAATTCAGTTGACAAGCTGAATTATCTTCTCTATTACTATCGCACTAGTATTCTGTGCGTGATTCACTTACAATTGTGGAATGAGTTACTATAATAGTTTGGTCTTCTTTCTTCAAAATA